TAGTTGTGCCTGAGCTCTCTCTATTTCTTACTCAGACTTCTCTATTTCGCTCAAATTATTGAACGACCATTGTTGATAGTTCTTCCTCACTGGATTCTTTCTCTCTCTACTCCTGTGTCTCTACAATAAATCATTGAACTCGTCACTACTCTCCTTGTCTATTTCAACACTATTCATTCTTGTGATATTTCTCAATCTAGTAAATGCATCTATCTCGAAACTCTAGCTCTTTCACATTTATATGTCATACATACACAAACCTTCGGCCGTAGTTATGATTTGAAAGGTTTTATTATCATCAATTTGTACATGTGTTATAGAACTGTTGAAAAATGAATATTATGCATTTTGTTGTTCTGTTCTGCTATCTCAGTCATCTTCATCCCTCAAGCATCTCTCTCATTCTTTACTGTCATTGTAGATATCTCCGATGTTCCTTATCGGAAACGATAGCACCTTTGACGTCATTTTCACAAGCGATAAGCCCGTTTAGTCTCTCTTTCTCATATTCCCTTTCCTCTCGCTCTACTAGCTAATCTTCTCTAACTCTCATTTTATGTTCCATGGCTTTAAGTCGTTGATTAAATTATTTAATAATTGTCATTACATTTTGTTTTCTCTGTATTATGAGATATCCCGATTGGTGATTCTAAGATTTTTAGTGATTTGTTTAGTCATTTTATGATAATTGTTTGAAACTTTGTTGCTTGATTACAATATTTGTGGTTTATAAAAAAAATTTGGATATTTTTGCTACATCAATTAGTTGTGTATGACATTTGTGATTTGTAAAATTTTTGATTATTTTGATTATGGCAATTAGTGATGTAGTTACGCATTTTGTAGTTGATATTTTTAAATTTTGTGAGTTGGTTATGACATTTATGGTTTTTAAAATTTTTAAATGTTTTTGTTACACCAATTAGTGGATAGTTACATAATTTTTGGTTAATGTTACGAAATTTTGGGAATTAGTTACGACATTTGTGATTTTCTATAATTTTAAACAATTTTATTACGCCAATTAGTGATAGCGTTATGTATTTTGTGTTTTATATTACAAAACTTTGTAATTTGATTATGATATTTGTGGTTTCTAAAATTTTAAATATTTTTATTACGCTAATTAATGTGTGATTATACATTTTGTAGTTGATGAGTAAAATATTCTCTCTTTTTTTTTATTAATTTTACTTAATAAAAATAGATGAAGGATTTATATTAAAAAAAAATTAAGTATAAATTGACAAAATTATAAATTAATAATTTATTTCATTACAAGACTCTATTCATAAATGTTTTAATTTTGTTTTTTTATAATGATTATTACATAATTTCGGCCCCATTTTCTCCAAAAATTTGGAACTAACATCCAAATTTTGTCAAAATCCAAATTCTCTTATTAATTGTTTTTGACAAATCCCTAGACCCCCAAACGAACGAGAGAGAGAGAGAGAGAGAGAGAGAGAGAGAAATTTCTGGACTTGGGGTGTGCCTCGAGCTCATAGGCCAAATTTACACACCTATATGTGAGTAATGGTTATGAGATATGTGATTAGTGGTTATGATATATGATTTTGGTTATGAGGCAAATTGTGTTGGTTATGAGATGTGGTTATGACATATGTGGGTAAAGGTTACGAGATATATGATTAGTGATTATTAGATATGTGATTTTGGTTATGTGATTTTGGTTATGAGCAGAGTGATATAGTTATAAATCAAATGGTGTTTGGTTATGAGATATGTGATTAGTGGTTATGAGATATGTAATGTTAGTTATGAGCAAAGTGGTGTAGTTATGAGATATGTGATTAATAGTTATGATATATGTGATATTAGTTATGAGATATGCGGATAATGGTTATGAGATATTTGATTAGTAATTATAACATATGTGATTTTGGTTATGAGTTAAGTAGTGTCGAATGGTGTTTGGTTATGCTATATGTATTAGTGGTTATGAGATATGAGATATTGGTTATGATCAAAGTGGTGTAGTTATGAGTAAAAAGGTTAGTAGTTATGAGATATATGACTAGTAGTGGTTATGAAATATGTGACGTTGGTTATGACTCAAAGAAGTTGGTTATGAGATGTTGTTATAATTCATGTAGGTAATAGTTATGAGATATGTGATCAATGGTTATGAGATATGTGATATTAGTTATGAACAAAGTAGTGTTATGAGCAAAATGGTATTAGTTATGAGATATGTGACTAGTGATTATGAGATATGTGATGTTGATTATGAAAAAAAATGTTGGTTATGAGATATGTGACTAATGGTTATAAGATATGTGATGTTGGGACCCCTGTATTACTCTGATTTCCTTTGCCCTCTTTCAATTCAAAATTAAATTATTAAAATAATTTAGTTATGTGGTAATTATGAAATAATATGGTATACATGAATAACTAAATATAACTAAGTTATGAGTTAATGTGATAATGGTTATAATCTATATACTAGTTGTTATAATATAAAAGCCCCGTTTGGTGTAACTGTTAAAATTGATTACAGATTATAGCTTAACAGATTATAGATTAAGACTTTAATCAGAAACTGTTAATCTGTTTGGTATATCTGTTGGATTATAAATTTAAGTTGTTAAATAATGTTTGTTAAATAAGCTGTGAAATAGTTTTTTCAATTAATTTTTATTTTTTATTATTCACTACTTGTTTATATTTCTCATAAAAAATAACAATAATATTCTATAGTTCATTTGGGTCTTTTTCTATTTTTAAAAATAAAAAAAATAAAAAAAAATTAAGATTATAACCGTAAATTAACATATCCACAGCAGAAGCTGATAATCAGAAACAAGGGGTGAAAGCTTCTCAGAATCAGCTTTTTTGACTTCAAATAAGTTGTTAGAATCAGAAGCTGTTTGAAATAAATTTAACCAAACAATCCAAAATAACTTTTCAAAAGTTAGAAACTATAAGTTGGCTCAAAAAAACCTAAACAAACACCACCTTCACATATCTTTAGTTAGAGGTATGGCACATCCAAATGTACCACAGCATCACCTAGGATGGAATCTCTACAGAGCCAAATGCTCGTAAAAACAATGCTATAAACCACTAATTTATCATCATTAATACCACCACTAGTGAGATGGCAATTGAAAAAAAAAAAAAAAACAAAACACAAAACACATGTGGCAAGGAATGGGACCCACTGCCACATCATTAAAATCACCACTAATTAATGGTCTAAAACATTTTTGATGCTCCTAAACCTCCTCTGCACATCAAAAACATGCCCCCTAAAAAGGTAAATCGCACTATGAGAAATCAAATTAACGTTAGCCTCATTTGGTGTTGCTTATGAATTATTTTTACGATAATAACTTTTTAAATTATTAACTTAAAAGATTTAAAATAAGATTTTTTTTAATTTAAAGAAAAAAATCTTCAAAAAATAATACCCAAGAAAATGAAACTAATACCCAATTCGTCTAGAAATTATTCAATACTTATAGAACATTACTCCATTCCATTTACAGATTAACACTTAACATGATCTCCCAAAACCTTACCACAAAAATAATAGGCCTACTCATTTGGAGCACCACCTGAGGTTGCTCTAGGAGCATTGATCTTCCGCTGCGTCAAAAAGTGGTGGTTTTTTTCTGATCCTACTACTTATTAGTCTTGCCCTTCAACAATTTCCTATTTGCAAAGCTTCTTCATATCATACTAAAGCTTCTTCCTCTGTTTTGCAGACGAGAGACGACTTACTAACTTGTCTAAGGCTTCCTTCATCCACAAATGCTGACATACCTCTTTAGCTTCTGTGGCGCTCATCTGCAATTTACATAACATGCATACATATTTTATCACCTATTTTTCATTCACAACCCAAATTTTAGGGAATTAAAATATATATTTTTCAAAAAAAGAGTACATTGAACCTATTGCTGGCAAGCTGGAAGCACGCATTCATTCTGGACGTGCTCCATCAAGATGAATGCAACCACCAGCAGTGAAAAAAATTGTGATGTTTGTGACATACCCATAATCTTTGTCGGACGTGTTTCTCTGGCCAGAAATCTAATTGCTTGTTAACAAGCAAAGGGAACATGTATCCTTCATGATAAGTGTCTTGGCTTTGGCTCTTGAACTGCCATCTCCCCAATTGACGCTGCAAAATTTCCACTTTATTGCAAAGGCAACAACACCACCACAAGATAAAAGAGTACTCTAAGGTTGTGTTTGGATAATGAATTTAAATAAGGTTGTGTTTGGATAATGAATTTAAATAAGGATTTGAAAAGGAGAAAGAGATGGAGAAAAAATTTAACTTATAATTTAGTCACATTTCACTAACATTTTCTTTTCCTTTTCTAAATTTTTATCCAATTTCATAATCCAAGCACAGTTCAAGACTTTCAATTATAGATTTGAAGTGTGAGTTGCTGAGGGAAAACAAAAAGGAAGGAAATCATTCACTTTTTCCTTCTTTTTTTTTTTTTTTCCTCTCTTTTTCTTCCACAAATTACTTCTCAAATCCTTAATCCAAAAACGGCTTAAAGTGTCAATCAATTGGTTCTGCTTTTGGTTTTTTTTTTTTTAATTTATTTATTAATCTGAAAATGGTTAACTTTTTAAGAAACAATAAAAAGTTGTTTTTGAAATTCAAAATTTGTTCTTGATAAAAAAACAAAGAGGGGGGGGGGGGGGGGGGGGTGTTTTTAAATTTTTCGTTGCTTTTGTTTCCAAAACCCCCCAAAAAAATGAAGAAAATAAAACACAATTGAAAACAGATTTCCGATTTGTTAATATGAAATCTTGCAGCAAAAAAAATAGGAATGTAAAGAAGAAGAAACCTCAAGAGTGCCCAAGACTCCAGCTTCCTCCTCTGTCTCTCTCAAAGCAGCATCTTTAATCGATTCATCAGCTTCCCAACCTCCCTAGTAATTACAATCATCAGATAATCTAAGTCAGACCCTTTATTTGAAATCAATTAACTCTTCAATTCAGTATATTGACTAACTCTTCTCATGAATTAGTACTAGTAATCACCTTTGGAAACAACATTCCTTTGCCTTTTTTCTGTGAGCTAATGACAAGAACTTCAAAAATTTCCTCATCTTCAATTGATACTCTGTATCGGTAAGGAATGCATCTGCAAAATTGTAAAGAAAAAGGTCAAAAATCACTAACCAAGAACACCAAAATCATGAATGAACTTGTTAGAAAAATAAATAATAAAAAAATCCCAAATCCCCTGAATTTCACGAAGATATCTGTTTTTTTTTTTTTTTTTTTTTAAAGAAAGTTTGATATTGTATTTTTTTGAAAACACCAAAATTGCTTTGGATCCAAAAATGAAAACCATATATATGTTTTGGGGAAATTTAATTGTTTTTGTTTTGGCAAACAAGAACACAAAAACAAAATTGAAAACAAAGAAAATGAGAACCAAACCAAAATGGACTGAGGTTCAAGCGTGCGTATGAGAGAGAGACAGAGAGAGACGAACCCAACGACTTGGCGACAGCCTTTGTTGTAACGCTGCAAATGCCTTCCAGTGCGAGAAACCAAATTAGCTGCGGCCATGATCTTCTCCAACCAATTTTCTTTTCTTTTCTTTTCTTTTCTTAAGCTTCTCAAAACTCAAATAGATATAGATATATATAACCATACATAGGAATTAATAACGACTCTCAAAATAGCAATTCATAATATTAAAAGTAAATCGGAAGTCGACTCAGTCAGTCGGTTCCTTTGAAACGGTACAAATTTACAGCTGTTGAAGGCCGAGTTGGCCACTCTAAAATAATTCTTCTTTTTATTTTTTTTTATCATATCATTTTTTTATTTTTTTTACATATCTTTTTATAAAAAAATAAAAAATATACTTATTTAGGTTATCCTAAACAATTCCTTAAGTGATGTGAGTAACCGCATTAATTTATACAATTTTTTCAAGATCATTTCATTTCTTTTCCCCCTCTCTGTCCCCATGTGTATTTTGTTTGAGTGGACCGCATAGTATCCTAATTTTTTTTATAAATTTACTCTAAATGATATATTAAGGGTGTTTGGGAAGAGTTATTTTTATGGCTGAGTAAGGAATTTGTGAAATTCGTAATTCGATTCATTCCAGTCTAATTCAGTAGGTTTGGATTGATTTTTTGAATCCGTGGTTCTGTTCCAAATTGAAAAATTAAAAATCCGTAGTTCACGGATTGGTTCCGGATTGAACCCCACGGTTCTGGATTGGAACCGATCCGAACCGTATACAAATAGTCTATATTTTTATTATACACCCTCCTTCATAGTATCTTCTCTTATTTCATATAAAACTTAAATTCAAACCTAAACTCGCATAGTATCTTTTTTTATTACTTTTATTTGCTAGTTTTTAGTATTAATTTGTAATGGTCTAAATACTTATGGTGGAACTAGTTTTCTTATAATTGTTTAAATTCTAAAACAACATGTCGTTATTATGAAAAGACATGTTGCTATTGTGAAACTAATATGGTGTTATATTTATATTTTTATGAAATTAAAGTGTTATATATATTTTTTTGTTATTTATTAATTATGTAAATCCGTGGTCCTAAACCGATCCAATCCGTGTTAAAATGAATTGGTTCGGATTGGTTTCACGATTTAAACGGATTGAATTGGTTCTAATATTTTAGGAACCGTAGATAACGGATTAATCCTGATTTTATCCCAATCCGGTCCAATCCGGACCATGCTCACCCCTAGTTATTTTTGTTTTTTTTGTTAATTTTTTTTTGTTAAAAGACAAAATAGGTTAAAAAATTTTAAAAAAAATAAATCTAAATAAAATATCACATCAAATCTATGATCATTTTACTTTTCTCTCACAAACATTACATCTAACTATAAAAAAATTCAACTATCTTCCCAAACACAAAAAAAAATTCCTCTAAAAATAATCAAAAACTAAAAAAACCTACTAAAATTACAACTTCCCAATAGATAACGGATTAATCCTGATTTTATCCCAATCCGGTCCAATCCGGACCATGCTCACCCCTAGTTATTTTTGTTTTTTTTGTTAATTTTTTTTTTTGTTAAAAGACAAAATAGGTTAAAAAATTTTAAAAAAAATAAATCTAAATAAAATATCACATCAAATCTATGATCATTTTACTTTTCTCTCACAAGTATTACATCTAACTATAAAAAAATTCAACTATCTTCCCAAACACACAAAAAATTTCCTCTAAAAATAATCAAAAACTAAAAAAACCTACTAAAATTGCAACTTCCCAAACACCCACACTACTAGTGTATATTCGGGGACAATTTATAAACCCAACTTAAAAACTAATTTTAGTTTTTAACTCGAGTCATATCACTTTTCATATTTTTTATACATAAAAAAAAAATTAAAAAATCAACTTTTAACTAACTTCTCAAATTACTCTTCAAAATTAGAAAAATGTTTTATGCATATAATTTTCTTCTCTACAATCCCCAAAATGGTAAGATGTACGGCTATTTTGGAAAGTGGGTTAAAAGTCACTTATCAGCTTTTAACTCACTTCCCTCTCTCACAAAAAAGTTAAAAAATAGTTTTTAACCATCTTTCCAAAACACCTCATAGTGGTGTTTTAGAAAATTGATAAAAAGTTAGCTTTTGACTTTTTATTATTTTTTAGAAAATGATTTGGAAAGTTAGTAAAAAACTAAGGCCAAGTTTGGCTAACAAAAAAAAGTACATTTATTTCATCTTTTTATCTTTTTTAGGTCACATCAATCAACATCTTCTCTCTACTTTTTCTACACATAATACAAAAAAATTCAAAAAGTACACTTATTTAGTCTTCCCAAACTTGGCCTAACTTTTGATTTTTTTGTTTAATATTTGTTTATCGTGTTAGACACATTAAAATGCCCAAAATACCCTTACCCAAATAGTTTTTACCTTTGTGTTTGAACAATCGAGGGTAGTTACGTAATTTTACAAATTTACTTTTTTACCGCTTCCCAAATGATTTTGTTTTGTTTACAGCTGCGCCCGGCTTTTTCCTCATGGGAAAATGAGTGAGAGCACTAATTAGTGCTACGACTAATGATGTGGCAATGGACCCCACCATAAATGATTTGATGTTTTGACCTTGGTGTTGTATTTTTTTTTCTTTTTTTATTGAGTGTCATGTCATTAGTGATCTTTTTAGAGCTCTAAAATTAATGGTCTCTATCATTGTTGATAGCCACATAATACAAACTCTATATTAATTCGAGTGTAAGTGGGTGTTTGGAGAGTGGGTTTTTTTATAAGTTTTTTTTAGTTATAGGATATTATTGGAGAATTTTTTTTTTGTGTTTGAAAAGGTAGTTAGATTTTTTTTGTGGTTGGATGTGATGTTTGTGAAAGAAAAAGTGACATAATTATGGGATTTGATGTGATATTTTGTTTGAATTTATTTTTTTTTGATTTTGTAAAACATTTGTCGTGTAACAAAAAATATATATAAAAAAAAAAACCCAAAAACTGAGTTCCCAAACACCCCCTAAGTCAACAAAATTTTGCTCGTCACTACATTATAAGAAATGTAGAGAGAGAAAATTGTATGAATATAACATTACTATTAAAATTATTATAAATCTTTTTTTTGAATCTTAGTTATAAATTTAAATTTTGAATTTTTTTTCTAAATTGGTACCATTGTTGTATATATATATATATATATATATATGAGGATAGCAGGGCACTGGCGGGGGGGGTTCTTTTTTTTTTTTTGCCCTTTCATTTTGATTAATTTACTAATAGTAACCTGTATGTTGAGTGAAGGCTTTTTTGTAATTACACATGCATTCTTCGTCAATTATGCAATAGGTTTTTTATAATTACGTAAACATTCTTAGTCAATTATAAAATAAGTTTTTTTGTAATTATGCAAGCATTCTTAATCAATTATGAAACATAAATAGTTTGTTTTGTGACGAATTACAAATACACTCATAAAATTTGTTTAAAATATATATCAGTCCTATAATATTAGAAATTATAACTATTGTTTGTTATAAATTTTCATTTAATACAATACTTAAGGGGGAAAAAAAAACTATTCTCCTATGCAATAATAAATTATCAAAATTGTTTATTGAAAAATATTTATCATATTATTAAAAATTGTTAATTGGCTTAATGATTTATTTATTAACAAAAGAGTTAATTGAAAGATATTTTTCTTATCATTAAAAATTGTCAATTTACTTAATGATTACTTAATAATAAAATTGATTATTTGTTATACAAGGATGCTTTATGTATTAATAAAATTAGTCATTTATATATATATATATATATTTTCTGCTTCTTTATTACTTCAGTAACTTATCTTCGTAGTTTTTTTTATAGGAGAATTATCTTAATATTTGTTTTATATTTATCTATTAAAAAAAGCTACACACCGTAATTTTTTTTTTTAAATTCGGAAGAAATATTATAGACTCTTAAATTCACCTAAAATGATATGATAATATAATTAGAGTCGATATCATTAAGTGTATAACAAATCAAAAATATACATATCATATCACATAATTTTATCATATATTTAATGATTTATTCTATTTAATTTCATTTGGTAATATTTTAATTTTTAAAAATTTATCAAAATATAAAATTTAAACATATTATAATAATAATCCGTACACGGGCTGTATAAACTAGTATATATATATATATATATATCTTTTCATTATCGTTAAGAGAGACGTGACCCTCTCCAACTTATATATATATCTTTATCGTTATCGTTAAGAGGGACATGACCCTCTCCAACTTCTCGCTTTCAATAATCAGCAGCTCTATTATCTCATAAAAAAATATTTAAAAAATTAAAAATTCAGATGGTGTCAAATTCGTCATTTTTGAAAGGGTAATATGGGTTTGGTAAGCTCGTTTTTAGGCCGATTTTGATAATTTAATCATTTATTTTTTAAAATTTATTGAGTAAAATATTTATCTAAAAAATTAAAATAATCATATATTAATAATTACATGTTTGAATCATATTCGTATTATAAAAAATGATTGACTATTCTTGTAGGGACCTAAAAAAAAATCAAATATTTTACACAAAATTTATATAACTATAAAATATTTGATTTTTTTAGTCTCTGGCATTTTTGTTTAGGAAAATTTTATTATACACACCCATATACCATATGTAATCTTAGTTATCACATTTTTTCTTTAGTTATGATATTATTTTTATATATTTGATTCTGACTTTTTTGTGTTTAGTTAGTTATAACTCAAAAAGTATGAAGTTATGATATTTTCTTCTATAATTATACGATGCATATGTATCATAATCTTTAAAGTCATAGCTGAAGTGGATGTTGATCGTTAATGTGAAATTCTGCCCATAGTTTTTTTTTTTTTTTTTTAAATTTAGATTTGCATTCTATCAAGTTGGTCATTGAACTTAAGAGAGCAGCTATGTTTGGCATATTCATTTTAGAACTAATTTTAGTGGTTAAAATCATTTACTTTTTAAGATTTATTGAGTATAATATATATGTAAAAATTAAGATAATGAGATATCGGTAGTTATATATTTGAATTATATTTATTTTTAAAAAATAAATAACATAATTTCAAGAATATTCATTTATTTTTTTAATATAACTATCAATATGTGATTATCTTAATTTTTTATATAATTATTTTACTCAACTAATTTTTAAAAATAAATAA